TTGGCAGGCCATGGTATATTCAGTATCCTTTGCCAACACCACAGTTACTTAACAGTAATTCCTTAATGTCATCAGCTAACCCCTAGTGAATGGGGTGAAAGGAGGAACAACTCATCCACACCCCCGTCCCCCCAAATTACATCTTTGAGAAGGTTTAGGTGCACACGGAATCAAACCAGTTCAGGGAGGTAGAGATCATCTACCTGTGGTGCCAAATGTGTGGTGGATGATAAATCCCCCACTGTCATGGATTGAATTTGTACCCTAAAAATAATCTGTCAACTTGGCTGGGTCATGATTCCCAGTATTGTATGATTGTCTACCATTTTGTCATCTGATGTGATTTTCCTGTGTGTTGTAAATCCTATCACTATGATGTAATAAGATGGATTAGCGGCAGTTATGGCAGTTATATTGACGAGGTCTAGAAGGTTAGATAGTGTCTTAAGCCTATCTCTTTTGAGATATAAAAGAGAGAAGCAGGCAGAGAGACATGGGAACCTCATACCACCAAGAAAGCGGTGCTGGGAGTAGAGCGCGTCCTTCGGACCTGAGGTTCCTGAGCTGAGATACTCCCAGACCAAGCGAGGACTTTTGCACCACAAGGACCTTCCTCCAGAACTGACAGAGAAAGCCTTCCCCTGGAGCCGGCACGCTGAATTTGGACTTGTAGCCTACTGGACTGTGAAGAAATAAATTTCTCTTTGTTCAAGCCATCTACTTGTGGCATTTCTGTTCTAGCAGCGCTAGGTGACCAAGACACCCACTTATTGGCCTCAGGTGTGGTGAATAATAAATTCCCCCACTCACTGACTCTTAGGAACCAGGACCAAAGGCCAGACTGTTAACTGCAAGGAGACGCCACACCTCGCAGTGCGAGAAGTTAAATAAGATAGCACTCAAGTTCACGAGGCAGTATTTTGATAACAGCTTTATTGAGCTATCCATACCATCCATACAATTCACTCATTTCAGGTGTACAATTTAATGGTTTATTAATGTATTCACAGAGCTGTGCCACCATCACCTCCATCAATTTTTGAACATTTTCATCACCCCCCAAAGAAACCCTGTATCCTTTATCCATCCCTCCCAATACCCCCACCCCTACCAGTCGACTTTATGTCTCTCTAGATTTGCCTATTCTGGACGTTTCATGTATATGGAATCATGTCCTATGTGATCTTTTGTATGTGACTTCTTTCACGCAACGTAATGTTTTCAAGGTCCATCCACGTAGCATGTGTCAGGACTTCATTCCTTTTTACGGCCACGTAGTATTTTACCGTGTGGATGGATCGCGTTTTATTTATCCATCCATTTGTTGATGGACGTTTGGGTTGTTTCCACTTTTGAGCTATTAAGAACAATGCTGCTGTGAACATTTGTGTACATATTTTTGTGTGGACCTTGTGTTTTCACTTCTGGTGGGTCTTTACCAACGAATGGAACTGCTGGTCATGTGGTAATTCTCTGTCTAACCTTGGAGGAGCTGCCAAACTGTTTTCCAACGCAGCCGCACCGTTTTCCATTCCCACCAGCAGTGGACGAGGGTTCCAGTTTCCCCAGATCCTTGTCATCCCTTGTTCTCACTTGTTTTTTTGATTCTAGCCATACTAGTGGGTGTGAAGGGGTATCTCATCGGGGTTTTGGCCTGCATTTCCCAGATGGCCACATGAGGCAGCATTGTCCATGTTTTCAGACACCAGGATTGAGGGTGGGATTTATCCTGTTAAATTTGCATGGAGCTTCTCAAGCTGTGTGTGTCCTAGGGCTCGCTAATTCCTGCTCAACACTAGAAGGCAGGGAGGTTGCCCCAGGCAGCCCATCTTGGCTGTTGCAAAACTAGAAAAACGTGTCCATTTTAAGGGTGTTTAGGACACAGGGTTGCTTCGAGCCCATCAAAATAAGCAAGTTAAATTGAGATAGTTCTGGCCAGGGAGTGTTCGTCCTGGAAAGGAAGCCATACCTCTTGCCAGTCTATCTGACTTTCCCGAGAAGAGGTTGGATTCCTTGCCAGCATCGGATAGGTGCCTTCGGATAGAATTGGCTACCAACACTGTATTTAATCCACTGTCATTAGCAGTCCCTTTGTGTTCTGTATAAAGCCCTGGGAAGATCTGATAACTCTTTAAAGGGTAACCATTCCTGTAGTTTTATTTGCCCTGATGTGATATGCACTGTGCGGAGTTAACTCAACACCTGCCTCGTGTGCTGAGGTGGAGCAGAGGGGAAGGGCCGCTTGGTCAATGTGGACGAAGAAGGCTTTGGGTGGGGTGGTTAGGAGTTAACCTTGAGACTCTGGGGGGATCTTCGAACCACTTGGGTAGCTTTTTGAGAAATGGATTCGGGGCTGTTTGCTTCCATGCCCGCTCCAACATCATAGACCCATCTGTAGGACACATTTATTTACAACTGTGATTGCTTTCTAAAATGGAGTCCATTTCTTCAACATTGCCCAGGCAATGATGTTCACTCGATGCCTGCCAAATAATTTGTAAGTGTTGTATAGTGTTTTACAAATTACTCTAGGCTACAGTTATATAGTTGAGGGGTGCGGGGGAAGGCCTGGTGGTCTGCTTCGGAAAAATCTGCTATTGAAAACCCTATGGAGGCCAGTTCTCCTCTGACACACATGGGGTCACCGTGAGTTGGAGGTGACTCCATGGTTAAGGCTATATAGAATGCGATGCCGTTGTGCTGACTTTCTCTTTTCTTCCAAAGTCACCAAAGCAGAGCTTTCAGGTTCTGGGCGTTGATAATCCTAGACGTGTCACCCACCCCGGCCCTCTTCTCAGACGCGTCACCCACCCCGGCCCCCTCCTCAGACGCGTCACCCGCCCCGGCCCCCTCCTCAGACGCGTCACCCGCCCCGGCCCTCTCCTCAGCGCTGGGTGCCTCTGATGACATTTCAAAAGTAGTGGGTCGTCCACATGTGAATTCTTGGTCACAAAGGGGCTCTTCAAGCTTGAAGTCTGAGCATCCATTTCCTCAGCAAGCCCACCCAGGTGCCTCTGAAACATGTTTTCCACTGATCATTCTCCCCTCCCCACTGTCCCCACTCTGGGCCAGGCCCTGTCCTCACTCGCCTGGAAGACGGCCCAGCTTCTTACCGGTCTTGCTTCCTCAACCCCATGCTCAGTACAGAGTGGTCTTCTTCTTCTTTGTTTTTTTGTATATTTGTGTGTGTGTGTGGTAAATGTGTATGAAGGGGCCCTAGTGGCGCAGTAGTTAAGCACTCGGCTGCTAACCAAAAGGTGAGCAGCTCGAACCTACTCAGAGTCTTCACGGCAGAAAGACCTGGCGATCTGCTCCTGTAAAGATTACAGCCAAGGAAACCCTATGGAGCGGTTCTCCTCTGTCACACAGGGTCGTCATAGTGGAAAATCAACTTGACGGCACCAAACAACAACAACGACATCCACTTAGAACTTGGTGTCCAAAGAGTGTAGGCAGAGATAATGAGATAGCACAACCCTCAGAGGGGAGAGGAGCAGGCTCGGTGGAGAGAGAGGGAGGCTGCGTGTGGAAGAAGGTGAGGCCGCTATGGCGGGCGAGGTGTCGGAAGGACTGTGCAGGAAGACTTGTGAAGGGGAGACAGAATAGACCCTAGATCTCCAGAGCAGTTGAAACAAAGTGTGTTTTCTTTTGCCGGCTGGGAAGCCAGCCCAGAAGGACCTGCGAGTGGAGGTGAGGCAAAATCCCCTGGGAACTGTTCAGTCCTTTGAATGTTTGAGGCAGTTGGTTCAGTCAGAAACTCTGAGGAGGAAGTCTTGGACTCGTCCTCAGAACACCCGCTCTTGATGACTCGGCCCGTCTTATTTTCATACAGCCCTTCATGTCGTTAGCGGAAGCTTAAAATGCCTCCTCAGAACAGCAGCCATAGGCACTGGCAGTAAGGCGTTGGGCGTTAGGCCCGGCGTTCCTACCTGAAGGTCAGGTCAGGGCCATTGTGGACTCGTGGGAGGACCTTCGGGGTTTCTTCTAGGCCAGCCTCGGGGCTGGCGGGCTAGAGGAGATAGGTCTTTGCAGAGTAAGTTGCTAAACAAACGTTGGCTTCCATGGTGAGTGGGGTGCGGACTGGGCTGCTGGCCTGGAGGTGTGGTTCCCTGGGATGGCTAGGGCCAGGGCTGGGGGGGATCCCTGTGCCTGCGGTCTGGAGGTGGGGGATCCCTGCTCCTGGGCCTGGAGTGACGGTAGGGGATTCCTGCTCCTGGGGCCCGGAATGGGGGTGAGGGGTCCCTGCTCCTGGTCCTGGAATAGAGGTGAGGGGGTCCCTGCTCCTGGGGACTGCAGGTGGGGGTAGGGGAAGCCCTGCTCCTGGGGTCTGGAGTGGGAGTGAGGAAGTCCCCTGTGCCTGGGGTCTGGACGTCACAGTGGGGGGTGAGGGATCCACAGACCTGGGCCTGGAGGCCAGACAAGAGGCTCAGGGGTCCCCAGCCTCTGCTGATCATCCAGGGTCTCTTAAGCACAAGGCAGTGATTGTTGATACAGTACTGGGCAGGGGATAAATCAAACAAACAAACCAGTTGTTGTCAAGTCAATTCCGACTCATAGCAACCCTCTAGGACAGAGTGGAACTGCCCTGTGGGGTTTCCAAGACTGTGAGAAAGATGTGGCGGTCTGCTTCCGTAAAGATCTACAGCCTTGGAAACCCTATGGGGCAGTTCTCTTGTGTCCTGTAGGGTCGCTGTGAGTCAGAATTGACTTGATGGCAATAGGTTTGGTTTGGTTAATCTTTACGGAAGCAGACTGCCATAGCTTTTTTCCACAGAGCAGCTGGTGGGTTGGAATTGCTGACCTTTTGGTTAGCAGTCAAGTGCTTAACCACTGCACTACCAGGGCTCCTCTGATAGGGGAGTAGGGTGTGAGGTATGATGGCTCTGAACTGGATCTGTTTATGAAAAGTATTAAATCTATTCAACGGAGAGGAAAAACTTAATCTCAGAGTGAACTAAATTTCTGTATAAGGAATTTTCTACAGTCTTTTTCCTCCCCAGGTAATCATTCACGATGGCGGAAGCTCACCAAGCTGTGGCCTTTCAGTTCACCGTCACCCCAGACGGGATCGACCTCCAGCTGAGCCATGAGGCACTTAAACAAATCTGTCTCTCTGGACTTCATTCCTGGAAAAAGAAGTTCATCAGATTCAAGGTTTGCAGTTCTTTGTTTGAGTCTATATAATATTCACAGTTGCCAGGTGGTACAATGCATTAATGCACTCAGCTGGTAACTGAAAGGTTAGAAGTTCCAGTCCACCCAAAGGTGCCTCAGAAGAAAGACCTGGCGATCTACTTCCAAAAGATCAGCCACTGAAAACCCCTTGGAGCACAGTTCTACTCTGACACACGAGGTCGTCATGAGTTACAGCTGACTCAATGGCGGCTGTTTTTTTTAAAAATAATGTTCATTTTAATATCTAAGCAATAGTTTTCTAGATACTGTTGAAGTATAAGTATTTCAGAGTTATAACTAGCACAAGGTTTATATTTCCATGGTAAGTTTTTGAAACACTTCCGCATGTATTGGCTCACTGAGTTCTTGAAGGAATTCTGTAAGGTGAGCAGGGCGGGTTGGCGAGGAAACTGAGGCTCCGAGAGGGTAGGTGGAAGGCAGAGGAGAGACTAGAATCCATGTCGTCTGCTCTGAGTCCAGAATCCTTTACACCTAGTAGAAAAAAGGATTTTTTTTCCAATTGTATAAACTTCAGCAATTTTCTTTAATAAATGTCTTGCCCATAAAATAATTCCAGCATCGAAAAACGTCCATGAAAATTCAGATACAGTTAACGCCACATGTTCTCAGTTCGGCTTGCCTGAAGAAGTGGAAATTTGTTCACCCTTTTAAGCACAAGAGTCATTTACATTTTATTCTTTTGTTTTTAATTGATCTTTAAATTTTATTATTTTATTGTACTGTAAGTAAAAGTTTACAATTCAAGTTAGTCTCTCATACAAAAATTTATACACACATTGTTATGTGAGCCTAGTTGCTCTCCCTATGCTATGCCAGCACACTCTTCCTTTCCACCCCTGATTTCCCGTGTCCATTCAGCCAGCTCCTGACCCTCTCTGCCTTCTCATCTCACCTCCGGACAGGAGCTGCCCATTTAGTCTCATGTTATCTACTTGAGCTAAGAAGCACACTCTTCACGAGTATCATTTTATGTCCCACAGTCCAGTCTAATCTTTGTCTGAAGAGTTGGCCTCGGGAATGGTTTTAGTGCTGGATTGACAGAGTCCAGGGTCATGCTCTCTGGGGTTCCTCCCGTCTCAGTCAGACCGTTAAGTCGGGTCTTTTCACTAGAATTTGAGTTCTGCTCCCCGCTTAATTAATTTTGTAAAATCACAGAAGCGGTAAATGCGTGTTTAGAAAGTTTTGGAGGAGATGAGGGTAGTGAGGTAGACGTGAGTGTTGCCCACCTCCAGGGCAGCTGCTGTTCGGAGTTGGGGTTCTCTGTCTTCCTTCTCAGAGGGTGGCACAGTGAGGGTTTAGAGGAGCTGGAGGAGGGGGCCGCATGACGTGGAGGAGAAGGTGGGCGAGCCCCAGCCTGGCAGGAGGAGTGTCTTGGGCTCAGCGGAGGGTCCTTGGGCCCAGGTAGATGACGGGTCACATCCCATTAGCCCTCAACCAGGCGGCGTTATCCGTCGGCAGTGGAGGAGGGTGCCATCTAGTGGGGAACAACCAGGGAGGCAAAGCTAAGCTGGGCCATCGAGGATTTGGCTGAGGACTTGCCCTTTTACCTTCACATCTAAAGAAAACAGAAGCGTGGGTCCAGAGGCCTAGCCATCATATTCAACCCAGTGAAAAGATGGTTCTGATTTTAAAGACCTTTTAAAATTAGGAGTGCCTGGGTGGCTCAAACACTTAAGTGCTCAACTCCTGACATAAAGGTTGGCAGTTTGAACCTACGCGGTGGCACTGGAAAAAAAACCTGGCAATCTTCTTCCGTAAAGATTACAGCCAAGAAGACCCTATGGAAGTTCCATGAATTGGAACTGACTCGACGGCAGCGGGCCTGGTGGTTTGGTTTTATAGTACAGCTAGGAGACCTTGGGTAGTGCCCGTTTAAGTGCTCAGCTACTAACCAAAAGGTTGGCCGTTCGAGTCCACCAAGAGGCACCTTGGAAGAAAGCCCTGGTGATCTGCTTCTGAAAGAGCACACCCAGTGAAAACCCCACGGAGTGCAGTTCTGCTCTGACACACACAAGGGGCCACCAGGAGTCGGAGTTGACCCGACAGGAACGGGTTTGGTTTTTATAGCACAGCTGAGGAGGCCAGATGTGGAAATGTACAATAAGGAGTGCATGACCGCGCGTACCGGGTGGTTTCCAGGGGACACTCAGATCGCTCAGGAGGGGGTCAGTGAGGGCTGCCAGGGCTGCTTCCGACACAAGGGCCTTGGTGAGCTTCCAGAAGGATTGGGAAGGTCACGAGGAGCAGGGGACTTGTTTATCCGCAAAATTCCCCCCTCCTCCTTCTCTCCCTTCATTTATTTACTTTTATTTAATTCTAATTAATTTATTTTTATTATTTTATTTTTTAACCTTTTCAGATACAAATTCAGTTTTTTAAAAATTATTGGTTGATACCACGTGTTTTCATTAACAGAAGGCCTGCTGCATCAAGGAGCATTTCCGAAACTTTGTTATGAAATATAGATTTTGATACATATTACGTGGGCACATATGTCCCTCTGGATTCTAAGGGTAGGATATGCGGGACACATTTGTCACACTGGACTCTGGCGGGGGTAGGATTATGTGGGACACATACGTCCCTCTGGACGCGGGGTAGGATTCTGCTGGACAGATACGTCCCCCTGGGCCCTGCGTCGCCGTCTGCATTCCTTGACAGGTGCATACAGTGGATGGCGCCTGAAAATGCAGTATTGGAGGGAACGTGATCATCGCGAGAAACACAACTTCCGAATTAACGCCAAGGAACCCAGAAGTATACTTACAAGGCTTAGCTCGCAGTGCAAAAGCCAGAAGAGACAAAAGTTTTGCACAATCACAGCTTCAGGGTATAACACCTCACACGATACCCTGGAGGAACAGTAATTTGTAGCACACGCCCATTTCTTCCATTTCAGGCAGTTAGACAGTCCCCACCTGCTGGCAGCATGTCCTGGTACAGCAGCTTACCAGTAAACCCCGCAAGGTGGAAAATGTAGGTGGGCCTTCTGTGTCCCGCTGCTCATGAGACGGTTGAGAAAATTTTCTATTACTGAGAACAGGAGACAATCCCCTTTGTTAAAATCTCTTTCTCCTACATCTTCCAGTGATTGGAGATCCAGTAGGACTAACATTTAGGGGTGCAAATATCTTTAAGGGAATTCAGATAAACGGCTTTTGATAGTGTGTAAAATCCATTGTCTTGTTCACATCAGTATCTTAAATTATGATGGCTTTGGTAAACAAGGTTTTTTTTTTTAATTGGAAAATTTCAAACATACACAAACGTAAAGAGGATAGATTAGCAGCTTTCCCTGTTAATCTCGCAGCTTCAATCATCAGTATTTTGCCAATCATCTTGTTTCACCTTTTTTGAGGTGAGGCTGGAGTATTAAAAGGAGACTGTGGGGATTTTGGAGCCCTGGTGGTGTTGTGGTAAAGAGTACGACTGCTAACCAAAAGGTCGGCAGTTCGAATCCACCAGCCACTCCTTGGAAACCCTATGGGGCAGTTCTACTCTGTCCTGTAGGGTCTCTATGAGTCAGAATGGACTCGATGGCAACGGGTTTGGGTTTTTTTTTTTTGTTTCGGAGCATTTTACAGCAAATTCTTGACAGCCCAGGAGTTCTTTAAATATTTGAGGTCAAGCAGACATCTTGACTGAGGAGAGGTGGGAGGGGTGACTGGAGCTAGGGTCCCAGGGCACCATAGATCAGAGCAGAGTAGGGGAAGACCAGATGGCTTGGTGGCCCGTCCCCAGCCAGTGGGTGTTGGGAGTCAGTCTGGGTGGAGCCCAGGAATCTGTACGCTAACCTGGTACCACAGGTGATTCTCAAGTCCTGGGATCAGTCTTTGAGAAACTTGGGAGGTTTTTTGGCTCAGAAGTAGAGGAAGGGAAGAAATTGGGAGAAAGTTAGAACAGCAGAGAGATGTAAACTGGGAAAGATTTCCAGCTAGTGACAGCATGTCACAAACCATATGCCTCAAACCGTCTTCTCCCCATTGCCTGGCACCTGCCTGGGGTTGTCGAGCTCCAGAGGTGGCCGGGGGACATCTGATTTAACGTTTGCGTCTATGCGAAGGGCGTTGCTTATGGCGTGTGCTTGCTTTCAGAATGGAATCATCACAGGCGTGTACCCGGCCAGTCCCTCAAGCTGGCTCATCGTGGTGGTGGGCGTGATGTCAACCATGTACGCCAAGATCGACCCCTCACTGGGAATCATCGCAAAAATCAACCAGACCCTGGACAGGACGTAAGTCATTCTGTCACGTGGTAGATGATCCTGGAAGTGATTGATGCTTCACTGCCAGCGTTTGTCTGTCTTCTCAAACACCATGGCGGTGGAGACCTCCTCCTGTTCTGGATTCAGTGGAAGCGTTTGCTGACTGTCCGCTTGTAGACTTGCTTCCTGTTTTCTGGTCTCGTATTAAGGTCCCCCAGGAGTTGTGGTCCCTCTCTCTGAAGCCCTGGGAGCGTCTAGCCTGGCCAACAGGGTCCGCCAGGGAAATTTCTGCCCAGGGAGTTGGTCCCCAGCATGGTTGTTTCTGTGCCTTTTGAGTCCATTCGAGAGTTACAACTGTTCCCCTGTGAACAGATTGCTGTGGGGTGCTATGGGGTGACCTCAGCCTCTTAGATCCCTCTCAGTGGTTTAGAAACCCCCTGGGAAACCCCTATCACTCCTCTTGGAATTTTAGATTTTTCTAGGAGTTGGAAAGCAGGCTCTCTTTTTGCCAAGAGATTTGTCCCAGAGGTGCCTTTGTTATTAAATTCTACTCCCTCTAAACTCAAGGGCAGGAATCCAATAAGCTGTGCGTGTTGTTGTTGTTGGTTGCCATTGAGTCCATTCCAACTCCTGGAGACCTCACGTGTGCTGCGTAGAGCTCCTGCACAGGGTTTTCAAGGCTGTGATCTGTCAGAAGCAGATCGCTGGGCCTGTCTTCCAAGGAGCCTCTGGGTGGGTTGGAACTGCCAACCTTTCATCTAGTGGTCAAGCACTTAACCGTTTTTGCCACTCAGGGACTCCCTGGAGGTGCATGTGGGTGGATATTTTTCTCTAAGAAGCTCCTGGTGCCTGGGTCTCATGCAGGTGTGTTGGAATGCTCTAAAGGGCACGCTGGGCCATGAGACCAGAAGAACTGGATGGTGCCCGGCTACCATTACTGAACATTTTTAATAAAAAATTTTGGAGAAGAATCCTGATCAAAAGGGGGAAAATGCGGAACAGAATTTCAAATTCTCGTAGACTCCAGACTTTCTGGAGCCATGGAGACTGGATGAACCCCTGAAACTATTGCCCTGAGATAATCTTTAAACCTTAAACCAAAAATTTCCCTTGAAGTCTTCTTAAAACGAAGCAATAGTTCAGCTTAACTAGTAAAAAAGGTCTGCCTTGAGCATTATACTCTGTTAAGAGCTATCTATGTGGGAACAGATCGACAACAGCAACTTGAAAGATTAGATAGGAACTTTAGGTGGCAATGAGTTTATGTTAATGAGAGAGGAACAACTCAGAAAAGGAGGGTAAGAAAAAGAAAAAATTTTAAAAAAGGGCATGCTGGGTGTTTATTCAGTCAACGCTGGTTGAACACCTCCAATTCCTTTATTCAACGTTGAGCTCCAGGGTGTCCCTGACTCTCATCCAGGATCTCCTGTGGGTCAGCACCCAGGCCCAGTGACCTCGTGTAGGCATATCAGGTGGCCTTGTTCAGACATCTCTGTTGTATCCATGGGAGATATTCAGGGAGATGTGTGTTCTCGCCCAAGATGGCGGAAAGAAGAAATGGGAATCTACTCAACACCAAAATCAGTGCTTTCTTCAGTACAGTCTTTCTTCAGTATCTGGGGGCATTGTTTCCAGGACCCCCACCCCCACCCCTACCCCCCCAGATGCCAAAATCCACAGATGCTCAAGTTCCTTATATGAAATGGTATAGTATTTGCATGTAACCTGTGTACATCCTCTGGCGTACTTTAAATCATCTCTAGATTACTTATAATACCTAATACAATGTGAATGCTATGTAAGTAATTGTTTCATCACAAATGAAGACTGCTCTGGAAGGTAGCGTTTCTCTTCTATGAGTTTCCTGAGCTCTTCTGGGAACGCTAACTCTGCCTGGGTATCAGCCGATGCTGGTTCTCCTGTGATCTTGAAGTTCTGGAGCCTGCAGCGCTTTCCATAGTGAGCCAGCCATCCCTTACTAGCCTGAAACTCCTTCTGCCTGCTCTCCTTAACACCTCACACTTAGCCTTTGAGGGACTGCTTTGACCACTTCATTACTTTTTAGGAGCCATTTTTTCCCAGAAACAAAAGATACACACAAAACAAGTAGCGAACGACTGAGACACAGGGCAAACAATGCTCAAACAACAAGTGCTGGAGAGAGCCTGAGGATCTGTGAAGTGGTGGGAGGCTACAGCAGGGGGTGCTGTCACTTCATTTCACACGGTTTCAGCATAGTGCTCAGTGTGCAGCAAATTCAAGTTTTGCTTTTTGGAACTTTTTTTTTTTTTTTTTAATATTTTCGATTCAAAGTTGTTTGAATGCACAGATGCAGAACCTGCAGATATGGAGGGCTGACTATATACCACTAAGCCTCTTCTCAGAGAACCTTCCTGTGAGAGAAATGCAAAACAAACACCACCGCTGTAGTGACTATTGAGTGGCCGGACAATGGAACACGGGGGCATTACCTTGTTTGCTCCTGTGACCCCTGTGCTTGAATGTGTATTTTTATTTTCTAGTTTGAAAGCACTACAGTATCTTTGAAGTGTCCACAGCTAGCCCATGCCAGACACGTGATCCTGCTTCTGTGTTGTCTACTTCCATTTACAAACATTTTAGGTCTATGACTGTTGTTCGGTTGTTCGTTGCTGTCAAGTCGATTCCGTCTCATAGCGATCCATATGTACAGAGTAAAGAACTGCTCCATAGGGTTTTCAAGGTTTTTAGAAGATTGCCAGATCTTTCTTCTGAGGCACCTCTGGGTGGGTTTGAACCACCAACCTTCTGGTTAGTCCAGTGCTTAACCGTTTGCACCACCGAGGGACTCCTAGAAAAATATCCATTGCCATCAAGTCAGTTCCAACTCGTAGCGACCCTGTAGGATAGAGTAGAACTGCCCCATAGGGTTTCCAAGGAGCAGCTGCCAACGTTTTGGTTAGCAGCCTGAGAGCTCTTCACCACTGCGCCACCGGGGCTCTGCCTAGAGAAATAACACTCCCCAAGTCCTTGTTCCATGGTGGGACGTTGTTGTTCAGGCTGGCGTTGTGTGTGGAAGGTGGAGTCAGATGCAGGAGAGACATAACATAATGGGACTCGGTGTGCCCACAGGCTTCCTGAGCATGTATCCCAGTGCTGGGATTGTGGCCAAGTCAAAAATGGAGTTCCGGATCTTTGTCATTGAGCCCTGTTGGTTGTTTGGGTTTACACGTCATTCAGTCAAAAAGCAACAGGAAGATAAACTAGGAAAGTACGATGTATATTAAAACCCACTCACAGAATTTCTTTGGGATGACTCTAAATAAAAGATCAACCGGATTTAACTTAGCGATACGAATATTCGTATGAGCGCACTTCATCCAGATAGTGTTATTAAACCAAAGAAAAAACAAACCTGTTGCCGTTGAGTTGATTCCGACCTTATAGGACAAAGTAGAACTTCCCCATAGGGTTTTCAAGGAGTGGCTGGTGGATTTGAACAGCCGACCTTTTCAGTTAGTGGCTGATCTCTTGACCACCAGGCTATCAGGGCTTTGATGATGTTAATAGATGCCCCTAACTCCTGAGCCTCATTTTGCGGAAGGGTCTGGAGAGGCGTCCTCTGTGCCCTATTCCTTATTCACAGAGCCCCTGGAGACTCGGGAAGGGATTTAGTGCCCAGCTGAGGGACTTGTAATCGCCAGTTGGATATTATACCCTGGTTTGTGCCTTTATTAGCATCTGCAGGGGACAGAATGAAAATTCCCTGTCATTTTTGTGGAAGCGTGCCTGGGCTTGGATGCCTGCTGGATTCCGTGGTCTGACTGGGGAAGCTGTGGCAGGGACGCTGTCACTCTCATCCCTTGGAAAGCAGCTGGCAGACCCAGGCGCTCCGGCGCCCACGCCTCTCTCCTCTCTTTGGTTACTGACGAGTCGCAGCCCGCTCACCTGTGGGCAGAGCTCACCTGTGGGCAGAGCGCACCTGTGGACATGCATTGTGTTGGTCCCGTGTGCTCTGCAGGCTGTTGTGGGTTTGACACGGATTTTTAATTTGCTCTCTGGTGTGGGTTGCCTGTTCACATTGGATTGTATTTAGAAGTGTTGGCTATTTAAAGCCCTTTATAATCTGGGTCTTTAGAAGATTTGTTTCTTTGTCTCTCTAAACCTATTGTGATAAACTGGGCCAGCGTCTTCCTGCTTCCAGGAAGGGTCTCTGAGATCCCAGGAAGGGTCTCTGAGATCCCAGGAAGGGTCTCTGAGATCCCAGGCAGCTGCTTTCAGAAGCCGAGCAACTGGACGTGGCCGAAGGGGTTTGTCTCGTCTGTCCATCCCCAGCAGCCTGTTACAAAATGTGATTTTTAAATGAAAGTTTTTTGCTGATGCTTTTTATGAAAGTGCATTTATGTATGTGCATGTATGTGTGTTTATATATATATATATACATATGTGTATGTGTTATATATGTGTGTGTATGTATATGTTTACCTGTGTTTTATTGACTATGCAAAGACATTCGACTGTGTAGATCATAACAAATTATGGATAACATTGTGAAGAATGGGAATTCCAGAACACTTAATTGTGCTCATGAGGGACCTGTACATGGATCAAGAGGCAGTTGTTAAGACAGAACAAGGGGATACTGTGTGGTTTAAAGTCAGGAAAGGTGTGCGCCAGGGTTGTATCCTTTCACCATACCTATTCAATCTGTATGCTGAGCACGTAATCCAAGAAGCTGGACTATATGAAGAAGCATGTGGCATCAGGATTGGAGGAAGACTTGTTAACAACCTGCATTATGCAGATAACACAACCTTGCTTGCTGAAAGTGAAGAGAACTTGAAGCCCTTACTGATGAAGATCAAAGACCACAGCCTTCAGTATGGATTACACCTCAACATAAAGAAAACAAAAATCCTCACAACTGGACCAATAAGCAGCATCATGATACATGGAGAAAAGATTGAAGTTGTCAAGGATTTCCTTTTACTTGGATCCACAATCAACACCCATGGAAGTAGCAGTCAAGAAATCAAAAGACCCATTGCGTTGGGCAAAAAGCCATGGTGTTTTCAGTCGCCTCATGCATGCAAAAGCTGGACAGTGAATAAGGAAGACCAAAGAATTGACGCCTTTGAATTGTGGTGTTGGCGAAGAGTATTGACTGTACCATGGACTGCCAAAAGAACGAACAAATCTGTCTTGGAAGAAGTACAACTAGAATGCTCCTTAGAAGCAAGGATGAAGAGACTTCGTCTCACATACTTTGGACATGTTATCAGGAGGGATTGGTCCCTGGAGAAGGACATCATGCTTGGTAAAGTAGAACGGTCAGTGAAAAAGAGGAAGACCCTCAACGAGCTGGACTGACACAGTGGCTGCAACGATGGGCTCAAACATAACGATTGTGAGCATGGCATAGGACTGGGTGGTATTTTGTTCTGTGGTATATAGGGTCACTATGTGTTGGAACTGACTCGACAGCACCTAACAAACAACAACATGTGTATATGAGTATATGCGTGTCTGTGTGTGTGTGTATAATGTGTATTACATATACATATGTGTATACATATGTATATTATATATATGTGTGTGTGTACATATATATATACATATATATATATATATATATATACACACACACGTGTATATACATATATGTCCATCAACAGGAGGAAGACCTGGCAATTTGCTCCCTTAAAGATTACAGCCTAGAAGACCCTTGGGGCAGTTCTACTGTGTCACATGGGGTCACTATGAGTCAAAATCAACTCAATGGCACCTAACAACAACGACATATGTATATATGTTTAAAAAATCCTGAACATGTCATTTATTTGTTTATGCTAAAATGCTGTTTGATTTTTGAGAGTTGAGTATGTATGTGTGTCTTTTCCCTTCATTGATGTAATACTTAGAAATCTAAGGTGTACATTATCCAGAAAATAGCTTCTTAAATCCTAAGCCTAAGTTTGCTTATAGATTAGGTTATTAGAAAAGAACGTAGGGTTTAAAGTAGAGACTACAGTTAAATTTTAGGGTAAGATTTGACAGGTTATAGAAAGATAGAAGTTTTGAAACGAAAGTATTTTACCTTGAAGATATTAGTTTCTGTGTCATTTAAGTGTCATATAATTGGTGGTTTGTGAATATTGGATATACCTTTAGGTATTGGCTGGTTTAATAATTTGAAGCACCCTTAAATATTTATTATTTTTAAATTATTTTCCAGTTTCTAAAACTAAAATCAAAACCACAAAGATGTATGAATAGCTGCATCTCTTCTCATTGTTAAGGTCCACGTTTACCATAAAATACTTAATTTTCCATCGCAATTGAAACCATTTTCTGTGTTTATTATTTGAATGATCATTCATATGAGCAACTCATTTATCCATGATAAATATTCCTATCTCTGTCAAAAACAAGCTCTTTTGTTTTTCTTTTTCCATTTTTGGGGGAATTTTTTTTTTTTTGAGTATTGTTTTTTTGCACCAACTCAGTATTTTTTCATGTACAAGTCAATGACGTTGATTACGTTAATCATGTAAAAACAAGCTCTATTGATTAAATAGTTTTAAGTGATATTTGTGCCAAATGATTTAAGTTTCTTATGAGTAATTGCAAAATCCAAAGGTGTGTGTGAGAGAAAACAAAACATAAAGAGCAGGGAAAAATTGCTCAGAATTGCTGGAAGCCCCTAGTCCAGGAAGTACACATTGTCTTGGCGTGTAGTTTTCATTGTGGGAGGGTGTGGTACAAGTTAGCAGTCTCACAGTGTCCCCTATGTCGTCGTCCCTAGTCTCTGGAGGAAACCTCTTGCCATTGAGTCAGTTCTGACTCATAGCGACCCTATATGGCAGAATAGAACTGCCCCATAGGATTCCCAAGGAACAGCTGGTGGATTTGAACTGCCGACCTTTTACTTAGCAGCTGAGCTGTTAACCACTGCGCCAACAGGGCTCGAGTCTTTGGAGGAAGAAGTTGCTTTTTCCTGATTACATGTATTATCCTTGGTTAGCTTTATGGAGCCCCAAAGCATATTGAGCTGATTCATCTTGAGGTGGGAAGAAAATTGCCTGTAACCCTTTTGAGAGGTGGGTTCACGCCAGCGTTCTCTCTGGCGCGGCCTAACGCCCACTTGGTGTTATGTGTTCTTTATCGTGGTGAACAGGGGCTGCTCCGTTTTTTTTGGTGTTGTTCATTGCAGTCAATTCAGCTCTGACTCTTGGCAACCTCACGTACAACAGAACGAAACACTGCCGGTCCTGCTCCATCTTCGCGATGGTTGGCATGCTCAAGTCCAGAGTTTCAGCCACTGTGTATTTTTAGTGCCTTCCAACCTGGGGGTCTCATCTTCCAGCACTGTGTTGCACAGTATACTGTCGTGATCCTTAGGATTTAATGGCTGATTTTTGGAGGTTTGATTGCCAGGCCTTTCTTCCTATCCTCAGTCTGAAAGCGCCGCTGAAACCTGTCCACCATGGGTGATCCTGCTGGTATTTGAAATAGTGGTGGCATATTTCTAGTATCATAGCAACACGCGAGCCACCACAGTACGACACACTGCCAGGCAGGGGGTGGTCCAGTCTTTTAGCACAGGTCTTGCACAGTTGCGGCCCACACCATCTCTTTTCCATGCTAACGTGTTTGCGATTTGTCTTGTTTTGCTTCGGCAGTGGCTACATGTCGGACCAGACAAAGAACGTTGTCAGCGGCGTCCTGTTTGGCACTGGCCTGTGGGTGGCGCTCATCATCACCATGCGCTACTCCCTGAAGGTGCTGCTCTCCTACCACGGGTGGATGTTCGACGAGCACGGCAAGATGAGCCGCGCAACCAAGATCTGGATGGTAATCCCACTTCTGGCTCGGTGTGGCACTGGTATCGATGGTTTCTACTCTTGAAATAAGGATCCTTGTGGAACGTTTGCCCCTCTGACTCTTGGGAGCTGGGTGTCGTCCTTACTTCCTGGAGGGGCTTGATTCACAATGACATGTACGTTTGGGCCTGAGAGTGTTTATCCTTTAATGGCGCTCGAAAGTGCTAAGCATTTAACGGCCACGTCAGCTAGGTTTGCAGTTCAGGTCGTCCATAAAATAAAAGTGCTGCTGCTTTGTAGCGCTTCTCATAATGTAAAAGCCGCTGCTGCTTTGTACCTTTTCTGACTAACATGGAGCCAGGCGTTCACTGGTTTCCCTCAGCTGACCCGACTGGGACGCCCATGATTTCGTGGTTCATTTCCAGTGTGCTCTGAAGCTGGCCTTGGCCCTGAGCCCAAGTGTCACTTGGTCAAAGTGAATCACTGTCATGTGCGTGGATGTTTGTCCAAATTCCATTGTGTAAGGGTTTTTATGAGCTCGAGTTTTCTGGAAATAAACCATCAAGGTGGGAGCTGTTTCTGGACTTGTGAGGCCTCCATCTTTGGTACTCAGCCCCCTGTAAGCCCTGCAGGCCTGTGAGCGGGTGTCTGCCCCTCCCTATGTGCCATCTACCCATTTGTCATCGTCACCTGAGCCTTCACCAAGTTACTCAGGTCCAACTAGCTCTCTGGAGACTTGTTTCCAAAGAAACAAACTTGTAAACTTCTAAATTTGGTGTAATAATTGGCCATCTCATGCTAACAGACCACAAGGAAAGTTCTAGAGTGCATGGTGAGAGGAGGTGGAGAAATAGCACCAATGACGCTTGGAGCCAAGAGCGTTGGAAGTCAACTTCCAGTAGCCACGGAGGCCATCTTCTGTAAATAATACAAGACCTTGTAAAGAAACATTGGACTGTGTTAACCTGTGTTTTGTTAAATGGCCTGGATAAATTTTAATGAACCTGGTCATAAGTAGAAGGCGCCCTGGTGGTGCAGTGTTTAAGTGCTCAGCTGCTAACTGAAGGGTTGGCAGTTGGAACCCTCCAGCGTTTGGCAGGAGAGAGATGTGGCAGTCCACTTCCGTAAAATTGCAGTCTTGGAAACCCTATGGGGCGGTTCTACTTTGTCCTATAGGGTTGCTATGAGTCGAAACTGACTGAATGGCAACAGGACGGATCATAATTGAAGATTTTGCTTTAAAGCCTTTGCTCTCATTGGGATATTTCATGGTTTTATAAGTGAAACAAGCTCCTAGTAATCTGGTGAGCTGTGGCCTGAGGCGGGTCCTCCTGTGCAGCCTGTACCGTTCTCGCCATCAACAGGGGGTGGTGTCGTTGCAGCTGGGCGTGCTGTCCCCAGCAGCTGAAAACCTTCAGGGGGCTCACACGGAGCCGGTTCACCAGTGCTCACGTCCCTTGCACGCCCCTAATGCCAGACTTCCTTGTTCCAAACCACTTTCCTGCTACTGCTCGGCTGA